ACGCTTACAAACCACTGGTAAGTGCTGACTACAAGTCATGACTTCAAATTGTTATATAGAATGATTACAAATTATTTGTTGTTTGTGCAGCTTAGTCAAGAGTCCCTAATTGATGAAGTCGACTCAGATTCTGACGATTTAACTGTCAAGAAGAAACCTGTAAAAAGTATGGAAAAAGAAAAATCAAAAACACTTTTCTTCAAGACTCGGAAAGTGACGAACCAAAGGCAAATAAGATTGTTATCATGCAGCTGCAAAAGAAGAAAAATGGGGGGCGAGTATACAGCAAGAGACACTTCTGCCTCTACTGTTCAATGTCCTGCCACAAAATGTCCCGTCATTTGACTAGAAAACATGGAAATGAAAGTGACGTAGCCAGAGCATTGGCTCTACCTGTGAAATCTAAAGCACGTAAACTTCAGTTTGATTTGATCAGGAATAGTGGAAACCGTGAGCACAATTTTGAGGTTTTAAAGGCCGGCATTGGAACTTTAGTCCCAGCTAAACAGCCAAATTCCCCAGTTAAATCCAGTGAGTTTTTGCACTGTATAGACTGTGGGGCATTGCTTAAGCGAAAGTCGCTGTGGAGGCATGTGGCCAGGTGCCGGCTTTCACAGAAAGATGCCCAGGCTAAACCAGGTAGAAGTAGGGTCCAGTCCCTCTGCTCCCTAGCCCAGCCTGTACCGGAGGGCATCAGCAAAAAGCTGTGGTCTTTAATTTCGGCAATGCATCAGGATGAGGTCACGGGTGTTGTCAAAGCAGAAAAGGGGATTCTGAGACTCGGAGAGCACCTGTACTTAAAACACGGGCATGATAAGACAAAGCATGATTACATTAGGCAGAAAATGAGAGAAGTCGGTAGGTTAATTAACGAAGCAAAAACCGCAGGGAAACTGAAAACAATTAAGGATTTCTTTATTCCTTCCAACTTTAACCATGTGATTGATGCAGTCAGGTCTGTGGCTGGATATGATGAGGAAACAAATCAATACAAGACTCCATCCTTGGCCCTCAAACTCGGCCATAGCCTCAGAAAGCTAGCAGATATTCTTGAATGTGACTCAAAAATGGAGCATTGTGTTGATGAACTATTTATTAAAAACCTCCAACGAAGCCGGCTGCTTTTTGAGAAGAGGTGGGACGTCTGTGTTTCTTCTGCTGCCCTACAGACCCTCCGGCAAGCCAAGTGGAACACTCCGGACCTGCTCCCTCTGACTGAGGACGTTAGAGCCATGCATGCACATATTGAGGTATGTCGACCTGAATATGTGCAAACCCTAATAAGTGAGCCAACGTCTAAGCATTGGTCTAAACTGGCAGTTTTGACTCTTTGTGAGGTCATCATTTTCAATCGAAGAAGGGAAGGTGAGGTTTCAAAGATGCCACTGACAGCCTTTACCTTAAGAAGTAAGACTGGGATCCATTCTGACATTGCTCTGGGACTGTCCCAACTTGAGAAAAAGCTGTGTCAGCATTTTCAACGCATTGAAATTAAAGGGAAAAGAAGTGGGAAAGTGCCGGTTCTTTTGACTCCTGAAATGATTGCTTCGATGGAGGTGCTGGTGGAGAACAGAAGGGCCTGTTCCATCTCTGACCATAACCCATACTTCTTTTCCCGCCCGGGCGCAGACACCCACATCAGGGGATCAGACTCCCTACGCCAGGTAGCCAAAGAATGTGGTGCGGTGCATCCAGAGATGCTATCCTCAACCAAACTTAGAAAGCACATAGCTACTATGTCTACAGTTCTCAATATGAAAGAGAATGAGATGGACATACTTGCCAACTTCCTCGGCCATGACATTCGCATCCACAGACAATATTACAGACTACCAGAGGGGACACTGGAGCTGGCCAAAATCAGCAAAGTGTTGATGGCCATGGAGCAGGGAAGAGTGACGGAATTCGAAGGAAAGAGCCTCGACCAGATACAAATTGAGCCTGAAGGTAATTCTTGATATTATTAAAATATGTATGATTTTTTTCCCCTAAAGGCCACTTGTATTTTTATTTTCTGTGCGACAGGGAGAGCAGTAGAGATCCTCTCACAAACGGACGGGCTAAAAGAAACTTCAAGCGGAGAACCTTCAACCATTCATCCAGATGCACCCCATGGTAGTGGCAGTGCCCCTTCTGGTAAGTGTACCAGGTGGGGGATTACAGCCAGGCTGCTTGGTCCTCACCCTGGGAGTGTATATTGCTAATATATTTTTATTTCTCTCCCTAGAACGTGTAAGAAAGCCATGGTCTGCATCTGAGGTGAAGGCTGTGGAGAAGACCATGACACCTTTCATACAGACTGGAAAGGTCCCTGGGAAGTCTCACTGCCTGGCCTGCATTAATGCCTCACCAGATGACCTTAGACATCGGACATGGAGTGGCATTAAATTCTATGTCAAAAATAGAATCACTGCAATTCGAAAACAAAATCTAAAATAAAATTCCTTTAAAATAGTTGTTTGGTTTCTATTGACTGTTTTGTATTACTTAAAGTCTTGGTAAAAAAAGATTATGTCTATGGGTCCCATTCTGAACGGCCCTGTCAAAGGGACCCACCAGGTAACAAAAACGTGTATGTGTGTGTGTGTGTGTGTGTGTGCACGTGTGTGTGTGTGTGTAGGTGTGTGTGTGTATGTGTGCGTGTAGGTGTGTGTGTGTGTGTGTGTGTGCACGTGTATGTGTGTGCACGTGTAGGTGTGTGTGCACGTGTATGTGTGTGTGTGTGCACGTGTAGGTGTGTGTGTGTACGTGTAGGTGTGTGTGTGTGTGCGTGTAGGTGTATGTGTATGTGTGTGTAGGTGTGTGTGTGCACGTGTATGTGTGTGTGTGTGTGTGTGTGTGCAGTCCAGTCCAGCCCTGGGTCCCAGTCCAGCCCTGGGTCCCAGTCCAGCCCTGGGTCAAACACATCGGTTCATGAGGAGCAGAAACCACTGTCCAGAAATGTCGTTGATCTATTGTTGGCGAATTTAGATTTAAAAAAAGCTGCTTACAATAGTTTTATCCCTTGTCCACAGGAAGATGGCTGCTCCTTCAACACAGACACAGCCTTGGTCTTTCAGCGGGGGCTTCAGGCAAAGTGGGGATACGTGTCTTGCCCAGAGACACAACGACAGCAGACATCAGAGGGAGCAGGTGACATGGATCGTGGTGGGATCGAACCCATGACCATTAGGACCAAAGACTAATGCTCGACCAATGAGCCACTGTCGCCCCCTAATGGCCCAAAGTTTATGGTGGAATTAAATGCACCCATCTAATTTGCATATTATGACCTCATAGGGGCGTGGCAATCATGGATTTTCATAAAATATTTATATATATTTTTACATCATTCCTCCAGTGGATTTTGGCCTGATCCACTTGGTTTGGACCATGAACCCTTTCTGCTCTGGTCTGGACCAGTGTAAAACCATGAATCCTCTCTGCTCTGGTCTGGACCAGTGTAAAACCATGAATCCTCTCTGCTCTGGTCTGGACCAGTGTAAAACCATGAATCCTCTCTGCTCTGGTCTGGACCAGTGTAAAACCATGAATCCTCTCTGCTCTGGTCTGGACCAGTGTAAAACCATGAATCCTCTCTGCTCTGGTCTGGACCAGTGTAAAACCATGAATCCTCTCTGCTCTAGTCTGGAGCAGTGTAAAACCATGAATCCTCTCAAACTAAACCAGAGCAGAGTTTTGAGGCGGATAAGACAGATTTATGACATACATAAATTACATCATTTTGAATATTTTGATCAGAAACTGTTAATTTGGACATTTGGACATAAACATTTGGACGTTGGTCTCTGCCTCTGATGGACCAATGTCTGTTTATTATTGCCTTTCCAGTGTTCTGTTTGATTCTCTGATCGGATGTCGGAGAATTGGTAAAGTCCGAGACGACTTCTGCAGTGATTTAAGGCTATACAAAAAATAGACAAACTTTAGATTAGGCCTCACTAATTAACAGCTAATTAAGTGCTATTTAATGAACCCAAAGCCCTGAGACACATGGGAAAAGTGTCAGTAAGTAGATCAAGACCATGTGGAAGGACTAATAAGCTTAATAAATACATATTAATCATACATTATACACTAATTACACACAAGTGTAACCAAATTAATATAATCTAATATGGTGAAATATATCGTTATAATTTTACTTCTACTCAAAGTAAAAATCTATTTACTGTTGTTGTGTCCTTGGGCAAGACACTTCACCCACATTACCTGGACTGAGTCTGGGGCCGATGGAACAGACTGGTTGCCTTGCTTCCGTCAGTGTGTCCCAGGGCAGCTGCGGCTTCACCTTCACCTCCGTGTAAAGAATGTCATGTCTTTGAGAAAACACAGCTCTATATAAAACCAATGCATTATTTTATTTTTTAATTAAGTAAATGTCTCAAAATGGAAGTCAATGTTTTCTTCAGTCTTTGTTCAAAATTACCACCGCAGCTTATAATCAAGTGCGGCTTATATGTGGACAAGATTCACATTTATTCATATTTAAGCTTCATACAAACGTGTCCAGTCTGAAGATGGATTTTTGTTGCCAATTACATTATTCTTTGGTAATATTTAGCTTCAAGGCTCGAGAAATGTCTGTGTTTTTAGATGTTTTAGACAGAAACGAGGAGAGAGTAGAGAGAGTACAGTACTTGGCTTTTATTCAGAGGATTCATGCACAGTCCAAACACTCCAAATGCAGCCGATGGTGCGAATGGCACTTCATACTTTCAATAAAACATTATTTAAGTGCCTTCAAATATGTCGAGTCACATTTTACAAACGTCGGGATCAACGCCTCCTGCAGAAAACACCTTCAGCTCATTTCTGCATCTGTCCCATTGCAAAGTCCCATGTGCCAAAACCAGTCAGCTCCAGGATCATGGCAACAGCTGGAGTCAGATACTGTCAGTTATGTAAAAATAAGATTTAAAAACATTATAAATATATCGTTTCAGCAGCACTTAAGGTCCAAACTTCTTGTCAAAGCGTGTGTTAGGTTTCCTCCGGGATCATGTGTATTCTGATTTGCGGATGTAGTTGGAAGGCACGTATCCTCGCTTCCCGTCCGCTTCGGCGAGCCACCACTCGTCGTTGCCGTTCATGTCTTTGAACTCCAGGATCCGCAGCCTCTGATTGGCCGAAATGCTCAGTTCATTGTCACAGCGGGCGCTAAAGGAGTAGAGCGCGTAATAAATCTGGGGAAAGATCAAAGACACCGTCGTTAGGTTTGTGTCCGGAAAAAAATCAATTGAATTAGACGTTAAACAAACAGTAGAGACCATGTCCAAACCAAGGCCCGCGGGTAAAATGCGGCCCAGTTTTTCATTTTATGTGGCCCTTTGCCTTGCTAATATAAACTATCTATTGTGGCACTTTCCCAGAGTCATCCAGCAAACTTCAGCTCCACCAAGCAAGTAAGTGAGTTGTTATTACTATAGCGCCTTTCACAGAGTCACAAAGCTCTTTACAATAGTAGTGGCATTTTGTCTCCCTCTCCTCAGAGATGGGAGCGAGGTTGTTGTACAGGAGGCACGTGCCAGACCTATTGTGCATGTTGTAGTCGTAGGGGAAACTGGAGCACCTGGAGGAAACCTACGCAGACACGCCGGCCCAATATAGTCCTGCTGCACCTCGTAATTATCTGAACCTTTGAAATTTAACCATTCACATTATTTCTATGTTCTGTGATTGGTTTTCAATAGTTTTCCAAAATGACACCAGCGAAGAATTAGGTTTGATACAATAAATATGTCCAATTTTAAAGCCCAAAGTCTAAAAGCAGTTTAAGAATGTTGTCTGGTGAAATAAGGTGGCCCTCCTGCTAAAAAGTTTGGACACCCTTGGCTTAAACAGAAGTAGATGGTCATGTGATGGTACCTGGTGACCGTCCAAGTCGTCCGCTGCTGGTGCTGGTGCTGGTTCGGGCTCGTTGTAGTCGTCTCTGCTGTAAACCGCAGGCTTCCTCTTCTCGGCGTTCCCGTTTCTCCATTGGTGGGAATTATAGCCTTTATCTGCTGCGTACCGCGAGCGCCCATTCCTATTGGACGATGAGCTGGAGTCCGTCTCCGATAGGTCCGACACGTCCTTGTACTTACTGGGACTGGCACCGTGTCCGCCGTACGAGCTCTTCTGATTGGCCGAATGCCAGTAGGGGAGCTCCACGTCCCGCGGCGTCGACAGCTCCTTCTGACCTGAATTCCGGAGAGAAGAGTTCGTGGAGTTGCTTTGACTCACGACGTCCTGAGAATCTCTGTTGTGGCTCCGTCTCGAGGATTCGGATTCAGGCTGCGACGTGGAGAAGCTAACCGTGGCGTTCTCCTGGTTGAACGTTAGAGTGCTGCTGCTATTCTGGCGCGAGAAGACGGGGGAGGAGCCGCCGTATCCGGACTCGTTGGACGACTGGCTCTCGATGGAGACGTTCGATTGGCTCCGGCGAGCGTTGTACGGTTTGAGGAAGGAGCTGTAGACGAAGCCTTTGCTCACTGCAACGCCACAAAGGATGGTATTTAGATATTTATTAGTTAGCATCAGTAGCTACAGTAGCCTAGCAGTAGCATGGCTGTTCAGTGATATGTAGTCTGGGAATCGAGCGGAGGAGAGGTGTGGTTTACGATTGTCCAGTCCTATATTGGCCTCGCCGTCTTGTGATTTACTGTTATTAATATTTCTTGTGTTGATGATCTTTGTTTTTAATAGATTTTTTGAATGTATATGTAGATTTTAATGTTTATGATTTGCCTGGTGTGTTGTGAGGTGCTTGTGTAGTAAAGGAATCTATAAATAAAAGTTGATTGATTGATGCATACATAAAAATTGACATTTCATTTAAGTACATGAACATAAAAGAGACTGACCTCCGTTATCGATGAGCCAGCGGTTGTTGCTTCCCATCGGGTCCTGCTGCTTGATGATACCGACCAGGTCTCCTTCCTGAATAGAAACATCCAGATCCTGAGCCGCGTTGAAGTTCCTGTCGGCCTGGAACAGTTTCTCTGGAGCAAAGCGAACCAGGAGCTCAGTGCGGTGCTGCTCCGTCTGCAGGACTCTGGGAGGCTGCGCAAACACATTCATGATCCTTTTAGAAGCAAACTTGTGTTTGTCTAATCACACCACGCTCTGGTGATCCCAAGATGGGGACTCTGCCGGGGGGGGGGGGGGGGGGGGGACTCTGCCGGGGGGGGACTCTGCCGGGGGGGGGGGGACTCTGCCAGCTGAGGTCTGTTTTAGTTTACATTGAGTTCTATGGACATTTTTCTGGGTAACGCGAGTTTAGTCTGCAGCAGCACAGCGCCCCCTGTGGCCATTGGTGGAACAGCTGTAAGCTAGTACTGCTATAAAACTGTAATATAACAATAATGGATCCCACTCACAGTCTGCAGCTGCTTCTTGGACGTCTGCTTCTCCAGAGTTTTCCTTTCAAAGGGTTTCTTGGCGGCGGCGGCAGCGGCGGAGGCGGGAGGAAGGTTATCGGGGCAGAAACTGAAACTTTGAAGCAGCTGGAGGACAACGTTGTACTCGTCTTGGAACTTGGCGACCAGGTTTCCGTCTTTACCCAGTTTACTCGAGAACTAGAAGGCAAAAAAGTACATTGTAAAGTTTATTTATAAAGCGCATTTTACAGACCAAGACACAGACCGCTTTATAATGTTCAGTTTGTTTCTTTCTCTCCAAACGACCTGAACACACTGGTCCATCAAAGCCTCCGACCAAACACCATTCACTCATTCAGACCTATTGTGCATGTTTATAGTGGTAGGGGAAACCGGAGCACTAGTAGTAGTAGTAGTAGTAGTATTAATAGTAGTAGTAGTAGTAGTAGTAGTAGTAGTAGTACTTTTCCAGTATTAACCATAGACTAACGTGATACACACGTGGTGCAGTTCCCTGTCTCACCTGTAGGAGGGGCCTGAGCTCTCCCAGTGTGGTTTTCATGAACCCTTTCTGGGCCTGAGCGAACGCCCGCACGCAGCCCATGAACAGGTCGCCTGCGGCCGTGTAGAACTTGGGGAGTTCGTCGAGCAGCTGCGCGTTCAAAGCCTCGTACGTGTTTCGCGCTCGCTGCAGCTCGTCCTGGACGCGGCGCTCTTTGAGGCGGTCGGCGCGCTCTTTGCAGTTGTCGTAATCCAGAAGTTTGTCGAATCTCTTCTGGATGAGTTTGTGAGGCCCAGAGAACATGAGCAGGAGCTGGTTCAGAGGCTGGATCACCAGGGCCTCGGTCTGCTCCTTCTGCTCACACAAACAAAGGTTAAAACGGTGGAGGCTGGAGAAAAACGCCTCGAACAAAGAAATATATATGAAAATGTGTAAAAATATATGATGTAAAATACTCAGCTCTCACAAACTAGACTTGAATATTTTTAATTCTATCTTTACTGTTTGACGGCAAATATACGACTACTGCTGCTACTGCTACTACTACTACTGCTGCTACTGCTACTACTGCTGCTACTGCTACTACTACTACTACTGCTACTGCTATTACTGCTGCTACTGCTACTACTACTACTGCTGCTACTGCTACTACTGCTGCTACTACTACTACTACTGCTACTGCTACTACTACTACTGCTGCTACTGCTACTACTACTACTACTGCTACTGCTACTACTACTGGGGCTGGGATGAGTGTGATTTTGTCTATGCTTATTCTCCATGTGTCCCTTTGTAAATATAAAACTTTAAAGATATGAAACAGCTGAAAGGAGCTCTTACAAAGTGAGTGAACTGTTTGTCGCTGATGGAGCGGTGAGCTCTCTGGAAGTGCTCTGGAGTCAGGAGGCTGCGCTCGGAGAAGATGTCACTGAAGCTCATGGCGGCCAAGACCTTCACAGACGCAGACTCCTGAAAGAACAAAAAAGATCAGAAAACAGTTTTGTCCGAAAGCGTGTGCTTTCGGACATGAGACAGTTCTAATGAGTAATATTCCAAAACACACTTTTAATACATATTTTATAAAGTCCATTTACTCTGATGGGTGGACGATAAATATTGTGGCCGATATATCGTGAAAGTGAATTTGAACATATGCTTTTTGGCATTGTCTATGTTTTTTATATTTCTTTGAATAATTATAATAATTAGTCATACATTTTAGTAAACATTGATCCTATTGGTTCTTCCCGTGTTTTAATGTTAATATATGTTTGTGAATGTTTAGCAAAGACGTGTGAAGCACTTCCCAAATAAAAAGTTGATATTTTGCAAAACATTGCAGATCATTTTGTGTAAAACTTTAAAGATATCGTGACAATCGAGAAAATAGAGATATTTATTTTTGCCCCTGTCGCTCACCCCTGGAGTCAGTTCTAATATTGTTCTAAAACAGTGTTAGTTTTATAATGTGTATTTACTCACATGTGTTGGAGGTACATAAGTCAGCTCTAATAAGTAATAATCACACACTTATCATAAATATATATGTTTATTAAAGTGTTTTTACCCGAATGTGTTGGAGATACAGAGAAATGTCTCTGATGAAGGACTTGATCAGTCGTTCCTGAAGCCGGAACCTCTTTTCTGCTTCGTCGAAGGCTTCGTCTCTGATCTAGAAGAAAACACCAAACATTTAATCCACTTTATTTAAGATAGAATTATTGATCTCACACTTGAGAAATGTACATGTATATACAGTATATATTATAAAGCACACTTTATTAAGCAAGAAAAACATTGAAGAAAAATGAAAATATAGAAATAAAAAAATATTATTTATTATAATATTTTTTATATAAACATAAGCATTGAGTGAGAGTCTGACCTGAGGAGAGATGCCCGTGAGGTGTTTGAGGTGGCTGCTGACGCGGTTCGACTTCTTTATGATGGAATGCATGCTCAGCTTCGAAATCTTGTCGATAAAAGTGTTTTCGTCTGTTTTTCTGTACTTCACCACTGACGAGCAGAGACAGAGAGATGTTAGAACAGACGCAAGTGTGTCGAGTAAAGACACTTTAGCAGCTGTTGAAGAGGTCCAGATGAGCTCCCTCAGATGTTTATGATGTAATGCAAACCTGCGTATGCACGTCTCACGGCGCCAAAGCAAACCAAGATGGCCGACATCAAGTCTGTGAATTGCTATAAACGTGATTTTACAAACCCAAACCCTAACTCGACAGCTGTGAGCATCCAGCTGCTCTGTCGGGTTGATAATGGAAATAAACAAAATAAACAGCTGAGTGCAAACCCACGTACACTGTTAAAACAATCACTAAAATGTTTAATTGTTAAAGCATGTTCTTATTGTTGAAATGAGAAATAAAACATTTTAAATTTCAGTTTTATGAATTCCAGGAGAAAACACAATGTACTCGTATCAGTACTCGGTATCTGCAGGTACTCATTAAGGTACGATTTCTGTCATTGCTATTAGTAGTCTCTTGTATCATATCATATTATCCTAATGTTTCAGGGCCTGTCTGTTTCACATCCAAACAAAATAACGTATGAAAGGTTGAATAAAACTCTAACAAAACTAATTAGAGTCTTAACTTTAATTGTTCCTCATTACACAGATGTTAGCAGTAAATATTCAAACACATGTGGCCCTAGTCAGAGATCTTAAGTCTCTGTGAATCCGTCTCTCACCGAGGTCCTTCCTCCGCTTGAACTCGTTGATGTTGACGTTGATCTCCTTGATGGCGAGCAGGGCCTGTGTGAGCTCGGGGCGGTCCTGGTGAGAGTCGGGCGTGGCCCCCAGGAGCTCCATCAGCAGCAGAGGGTACCGCATCACCCTCTGCACCGGCTTGATCAGGAAGGAGCCCAGGTTTATGTAGTTGGTCTTACCCCTGGAAAACAAAGGAAAGGAAGGTTAAGATCTAAGTCTGACGAGTGGAGCGAGAACTAGAAGCCAAAGCCTCGAGGACGAAATGAAAAAGTGACAAGACTTGAGGGAAAGAGTTCTAGAAAATGCGTTCTTTTGGGGCGAGGCAGTTCCTGTTTAACCCACGTGCGGCCCTCAAGTCAAAAGGACCCACCAGTGATTGGAATTAGACCCTTTTAAAACCCTACATCAGGATCTAAAAGGGTCTAAATGAACCAGGGCAGGAAAAATATCATCAAAATTCAGCTCAAAAAACTATTATTTTGGTACTTTTTAATCAATGTCGAGGACAGCACAAGGGTTAAAGACACAAGACATTATTATTATTATTATTATTTAAAATGCTGAAGTATCTTACACTTACAAGCTGCTGCAGTAGAAACAAACAGTGTAAAATTGGGTCTAAAATATCAGCGTTCCCACACCGTAAGAACACTGGCGACCCCTAGGGGTGCATTGCAGTATTACAGGGGGTATTTTAAACAATTTTCTAACATTGGCAGTAAGAGGTTATTAACATGGGCAACGATAACATTCTCTACATCATTTTAAAACAATTTTTTCAACCGTGTTCAGCCATGTCATTTATTTTTTAATTTATTCTAAACATTGACACCAGAGCAGACAATAATGATCATTGCTCCATCAGTCATTTTGATCAGAGAATCTAAAAGTAATTAGTTAAATACCTGCACAATGTGAACCGATACAACTACAGTAATAATATTCAGATTCAGAATGAACAAACTTTCCACCATTAAAACTATGTAGACTTTGGTGTAAAAGTGAAACCTCAAGAGTTTTTCCCTTCTTTAACTGGGGGCAATCTGCTTGTGAAGGTTGCAAAGGTTGGGAACTACTGAAGTATATTATTGATCCAATTCATTCACTATTTAATACTTAGATACTACACACTCCACATTTTAGAATAATAATAATACATGTGCCTTGCAGTTGCCGCTTTGGCCCAGTAGATGGCATCGCAGACCAAAGAAAGGACAGGGGAGAAACGGAAAGAGGACAAACGCATTTTTCAGCACAAATGCAAGCTTCATGCAAAAACAAAAGCATGAAAACGCCCCATGTCTGTCCAAGCAACACAATGACCTTATGGAGAACCACACAAAGCAGCAAACACACAACACAACCTGCATTTAGGTCATTTCTGATGGGGTTAGTGAGCAGTGGGCATGCGGTCAAATCATACTCATGCTGCAAAAACCAGGATTAATGTCACTTACCAGGCTCGGTAAATTGCCCTGCACATTGGGTGGAAATGGAAAAGGGACAAAACAGTTTAAACATTTGCAACAAGGAACTTTAAAACATGTTATTCTACACCAGAAGAACCTTGTACATTTGTTTGTTTTAATATATGTGTTTTCAGTGTCGCTGGTGAAACCTGGACAACGAGGCCGGGCACATTCTTCAGGTCCTTTACTGTCGACTGAAACCATAGACTAATAAACACCGGGGGTTAGCTATTGTTTAAAGATTTACTAAACCAAGGCTCGTTTTCCTCGTAAGACACAAAGCAAAGTCCATTGGCGGCGCATAATAAAGTTTATTGCTTGAATAAAAGTGTCAGCGGAAATTAAACTTGCCTTGATTGTCATTTAGTTTCTTTATCGACAGACGCTTACAAGGAAATGTCTTAAAATTCTCTAGTTTTAAAGGAGCAATATATAAACATGGTGGTACTGCAGCCTCTCCCACTCTCCCTGACTCAGGTTGCCAGATATGCAGACGAATCCAGCTGGGACCATAACAGCTGAATAGACAAGAGTTTTGTCAACAACAAATCTATAACCAACACCTTTTTCACAAAGATAGAAATCCTGCTTTTATTCCTTGTTTTGTCGTTAATGATTTGAGAATCATAACAAGACCTTTTTTAGTTCTGCGCCACATGGTACTTTACCAGTGAGATTAGCTCCACATGGTACTTTACCAGTGAGATTAGCTGGTGAAACTGTGGAGGGTGGGACAACGAGATTTAGAGGCTGGAAAACTAATTTAGAAATTCAAATATCTCTGAACTACTGTTATCAGTTAAAGAAGTATTGGAAAAGAGCAGTTTATTATTATGACAGATTAGTAAGTAAGTAATCTTTATTTATATAACGCCCTTCACAGACCAGCGTCACAAAGCGGTTTACAATTCTTATTTAGGGCCCTTTAATGATGACAGATTAGAGACCTTTAATGATGACAGATTAGGGTCCTTTAATGATGCCAGATTAGGGCCCTTTAATGATGACAGATTAGGGCCCTTTAATGATGACAGATTAGGGCCCTTTAATGATGACAGATTAGGGCCCTTTAATGATGACAGATTAGGGCCCTTTAATGATGACAGATTAGGACTCTTTAATGATGACAGATTAGGGCCCTTTAATGATGACAGATTAGGACCCTTTAATGATGACTGGACATGACAATCTTACATATTGCTCCTTTAAGTGCTGTCATTGGAGAAAACAAAGGTCTTTGAGACTGACCTGAGCCGCTCCAGACTCTCCGCCACATGTCGCTGGATCGTCTCGTCTTTTTCATACGTCTCCAGCAGAGAAATGGCGTCGTCGTGGTTTTGGCAATAGATTTTATAAACCTCCTCCAGCTCCACTTTGAACGTCAGGAACACGTTTCCTAAAAGAAGGTTGGACAGATTAGACTCATGCCGTTTGTCGGAATATACGCCTCATAATGCCTATATTTCCCACAGACACCTCCCACAGACACTTCCCACAGACACTTTCCACAGACATTACACATAGACACTTCCCACAGACATTACACGCAGACACGTCCCACAGACATTACACGCAGACACTACCCGCAGACACTATCCGCAGACACTTCCCGCAGACACTGTCCGCAGACACTTTCCGCAGACACTTCCCACAGACACTTTCAACAGACACTTCCCACAGACACTTTCAACAGACACTTCCCACAGACACTTTCAACAGACACTTCCCACAGACACTTTCAACAGACACTTCCCACAGACATTACACGCAGACACTTCCCGCAGACACTACCCACAGACACACTTCCCACAGACACTTTCAACAGACACTTCCCACAGACATTACACATAGACACTTCCCACAGACACTCTTCCCAGACACTTCCCGCAGACATTACACATAGACACTTCCCACAGACACACTTTCCACAGACACTTCCCACAGACACACTTTCCACAGACACTTTCAACAGACACTTCCCACAGACATTACACATAGACACTTCCCACAGACACTCTTCCTACAGACACACCCCCCACAGACACACTTCCCACAGACACTCTTACCACAGACACTTCTGTATAATCTCCTTCTTACCGACGGAGTCCTCAGAGTCCTGTAGGGTCTCGAACAGTCGCTGGGACAGGTCTATGACGGAGCTGATGTTTCCAAAGAGACCCTCGAAGTCCACGTTCTTCACCTTCAGGAACAAAAACACACATCAACTCTGGGACTCCCAGATTCTGAAACTAGAACTAGAACCAGAGCAGTCATTACGACGGGTGGTTTCAAACCTGCAGAACATTATTTCATGTATGTTTGCACTAACACAGGTTTGAAAAGGGGTTGGATGAAGCAGAAGTTTATTCCCAAACCCGTCTCACAAGAACACACTGTACAGAATAAACTCTTTAAATCAATGGGATCAGGGACAAAAACCTTCATTAAAATTAAGCTATGTACATGTGTGAGAATAATAGTGCTAAAACTATATAACTTGAACAAAAACAGTTAAAAAGCCCAAAACCACCACCGCCGCCGCCGCTGACCTGTTTGTGCTGCAGTGGTTCTATGATCTCCTCCACACACATCTGCAGGTCTTTGATGTAGTCCTTCTCAGTTTGCAGCAGCTCCTCGATGACCTTGGACCTCTTCTCCAGCATCCTGACCTCTGGGTCCTCGGCCTCAGTGCTCGGGACCGGGGCCTCATCTGGGACCAGGGGCGAGTCCAGGGGTTTGGGCTGAGCAGACAGCAGCGTCATCTCTGAAAGAACCAGGAGAGAGAGACAGATTCAGACCTCAGACTTTACACTAGCTCATTATAGAGAGTCCGGCGTGAGTAACTGGGAGTATTAAAGCTGGGGTACCCAACCTTTTCCCCATAAGTATAATATGTTAGAAAATGCTGATCGTGCAGAAGCAGGTCTAAGGACTGTGGTGAGGGTCCTGATCATTTATGAACATTGGTCTCTGCTCCTTATGGACCAGTGGCTCTATGTGTTTTTAATCTGAGTTACCAATGTTTGATTCTCTGATCTGTGTTGGCGAATCGATAACTTTGTAAAGTCCTCTGAGATAGAAACTGTTGTGATTTATGGCGACACAAAAATACATGGAATTACAAATGGGCCAAAAATACTAATAATACAATTGAATGTAAAAACTGTTAGCGAGGAACCAACTTTAACACCACTAAATGTATTGTATAATGTAATATTACTGTCATTACATTTAGTAGCTTTAAATTTAGGTACCCCAGCTTTAAGTAGACGTCAACGCCACACTAAAAAGAGCATTATGGCCTTTCCCAGCCCATGCCCCCCCTTCAACATGTCCTGGGACCACCCTACACTACCCCACGCCTCCCAGTCCCTTTTTTCCCCTTTTGATCAATATGTCTGCTATCACTGGTGAGGGCTGGACTCGCGGGGTCTCTGGGCTCGGAGGGAGGGCCCGGTGGTACGCATCAATGGGTCTCATGAATGGAGGCAGGAGTGGGGTGGACTTGGGCTTTGTTTGTGGTACAAAGGCCTACAGACAGATCCAGGGACCAGTGGACAGTACAGAGGAGGCGGAGAGAGGCAGATAACGGGCTACAGGTTTATGGGCAGACGGTGTGGGATCCAGCTGTAATTAAAGTGATCGTCTGGAACTCTAAATGAATTACAAATGTCAAGAATTGTTTTAAATTGACCTTCTGGGCTTAAATGTTGGTATGAAATAAGTAATTTTATGAATTCTAATATTACGGGTAAGTCCTGCCTCCCCTCTCTTAGATATTGCTCAAAATCCACGATGCCGTCCACTTTAACCAATCAGGTGATGCCAAGGGCTGTCAATCACAGCGCTGATGCTCGTAGCTGCTCATGCTCAGTTTTCACGGAGCCTCCACAGGCTCTGGAACTACATAAAAACTGCAGTCAGCAGTGAGTGACCCAAATATAAACTCAACCTAAATCCATAATCAGATCATCTGCAAATGTATTCTAAAATAATGATAATTTCAAAACACCCAAATGTTCTACTAATGACAATAGCTACTTCCGGGTTTATTGCGATCGCGGGTCACATCAAACTCCAGACGATCACTTTAAGGTAGCTGTGTTTTCCACGTGATGCAAAAGAACCTACTGTGCATACATGAACACAGCATTTACAGCAATATTAAACCAAAGAAACAGAGAGCCTTGGGGTGTGCCGCCTGTGTTGTCAGATAAGGATGATGTCACACGCTCTGAACAGATGCTACAATAAGTCTCATGAAGCCAACTCGGCGACCCTCGAGTTAGGCAAAGCCGGAGGTCATGTTTAAAGGTCTGGAAGAAGACGCAGTTAAATAATATTCAGACGCAAAAGTTGTAATGTTTTTGTAAATATTTGTCTGCTTTTCCCCCATGTCTCTTGGAAACATAAACACATCTGCTTCCGGGATGTTCAGGTTCAGTTGCAAATGTCAATAAGAAACTTGCTTTGGTCCTAAACATTTCCTGTATGTAAACAATGTGAACAATGAAACCCAAAAAAGTCTTCTCCAAGTCTGACCTCTGCTTCAGACAACACCCTTCTCTCCCACTGTGCACTTGTGGAAAGGTTTGATTTTATTGGTTAAATGAATACTAAATATGATAAACTATCGATGCCAAATGTGACATGTAGATTTCTCCATAGTGAGATCAATAAAGTGTATCTTATAATTCTGGACAGTACACACCACTGTGAACCTCAGGGGTCAGAACACTGTCTACACTTCTCAGTTCACATAATCCGAGCTGATCATTGATTACAAATGTGTTTAAATGTGTGTAATTCAAAGTTGGGGTTGTGTGTCTGATCTCTGTGGCCACCTGCCCGGTCGTCTGTGTCTCTTCCTGACCTCATCTCTCTCTCTCTCTCTCCCCATCTCTCTCTCTCTCTCTCTCTCCCTCTCCATCTCTCTCTCTCTCTCTCCCTCTCCATCTCCATCTCTCTCTCTCTCTCTCTCCTTCACGTGACTGAGGCTCAAAGTCCAAAGGAGCTTTTCTCGTGGCTGAACCGTGCAGCACAGTCACCATTTCTCCAGCCAACTTCTCTCTTTTTCTGTGTGTGTGTGTTCCTCTCTCTCTCTCTCCCCGTCTTGTCTTTCTGTGTGTGTGTCTGTGTGTGTGTCTGTGTGTGTGTCTCTCGCCCCCTCTCTGCCTGTGTGTCTCTGTGTGTCTATCTCTCTCTCTCTCTCTCTCACTACAGTATGTGTGTCTCTCTCTGTCTGTGTGTGTGTGTCTCTGTCTCTGTGTGTCTATCTCTCTCTCTCTCTCACTACAGTATGTGTGTCTCTCTCTGTCTCTGTGTGTGTGTGTGTGTCTGTCTCTGTGTGTGTGTGTGTCTGTCTCTGTGTGTGTGTGTGTGTCTCTGTCTCCCCCTCTCTGTGTCTGTCTCTCTCTGTGTGTGTGTCCGTCTCTGTGTGTGTGTGTGTGTCTCTGTCTCCCCCTCTCTGTGTGTGTGTCCGTCTCTGTGTGTGTGTGTCTCTCTGTCTCTCCCTCTCTGTGTGTGTGTCTTTCTGTCTCTCCCTCTCTGTGTGTGTGTCCTTCTGTCTCTCCCTCTCTGTGTGTGTGTCCTTCTGTCTCTCCCTTTCTGTGTGTGTGTGTGTGTGTTTGTGTCTCTCTCTCTCACCCTCGATAATGAATAAGTCGTTCACTAATGGGATTTCCAAAAGTCACACAACAAAACGTGGGCCACAACACAATAGATTCAAAGCTTAATTGGGGTAAATCGACCCATTCCCACGTTTGATCCTTGACGACATCACACGCTCCACTTCACGCGGCTCAAAGCTCGCTCACATACAGTAAAACACACAAGAAATCTGCAAACAAGCTTTACCCAAATGTGACCTACTTTTAAATGTCTGGATGCACAGGCCACGAGCCATGTGACTCAATTATAACATGTAGCACCCACATACACACAACATAAAACTGACAATACACACACATCACAAAAAAACAGACAATTCTTGGGTTCCATGTGACGTCAGGGCAGTGGTGAATAACAAACGTAGGACAGGACGTGACGTATCCTGGCGCTGCAGTCTGCCGGGTTTATACACGGAGATATAGTAGAAGAAGAAGTGGTTTATACACGGAGATATAGTAGAAGAAGTGGTTTATACACAGATATAGTAGAAGTGGTTTATACACGGAGATATAGTAGAAGTGGTTTATACACAGATATAGTAGAAGAAGTGGTTTATACACAGAGGTATAGTAGAAGAAGAAGTGGTTTATACACGGAGATATAGTAGAAGAAGTGGTTTATACACAGAGGTATAGTAGAAGAAGAAGCATCTTTTTGTGCGGTGCACACTTGTAGCAACCGCACAAATAGAGAAAGACCAGAGTTTGTTCATGTTCCAACTGTGTCTCATATAAAAGGAGGACACTTTGAAAAAAATCACTGGAATGAGGCGGAGGTGGATCAAGGTTTTCCCAGATAAGCGCCCCCTGCAGGCCACCCCAATGAAACGCAGCCATTTCTTCTGTTTTTCTTTCCAAAAATGCCCAAATATTTGTTAGTGCTCCCTTAGAATTGAGTGTCCCCGATTAATACTGTTCCAACAACCGTACACCGCACAGGAGGAGAGCCTTTGACTCCAAACCAGACTTTACATGGTTTTCAATGGGAGCAACACTGTCCCACCTCTGCTCATGCGCCCCTTACTGGCCAGGTTCAGGAAACACAAGAATAACCCACATAACACAAAACACAACGATCACCTGATGTCATTTAGCAGCTGTTTGGACTAGAGTTCCTAAACCTGTTGCTTTGCACAGTGGGATACTGTACATACACTTTATAGACTTCAATTTATTTTTGTATGGCCGCAAATCACAACATATTACGAAACAGTCGATTTGCCAAAGCAGATCAGAGAATCAAACAGACCCAACACAAGAAATGCAATGACAGAAAACACACAAAGCCATCGGTCCATAAGGAGCCGAGACCAAAGCCATCGGTCCAAAAGGAGCAGAGACCAAAGCCATCGGTCCATAAGGAGCTGAGACCAAAGCCATCGGTCCAAAAGGAGCAGAGACCAAAGCCATCGGTCCAAAAGGAGCTGAGACCAAAGCCATCGGTCCATAAGGAGCAGAGACCAAAGCCATCGGTCCATAAGGAGCCGAGACCAAAGCCATCGGTCCATAAGGAGCCGAGACCAAAGCCATCGGTCCATAAGGAGCAGAGACCAAAGCCATCGGTCCATAAGGAGCCGAGACCAAAGCCATCGGTCCATAAGGAGCAGAGACCAAAGCCATCGGTCCATAAGGAGCCGAGACCAAAGCCATCGGTCCATAAGGAGCCGAGACCAAAGCCATCGGTCCATAAGGAGCCGAGACCAAAGCCATCGGTCCATAAGGAGCCGAGACCAAAGCCATCGGTCCATAAGGAGCCGAGACCAAAGCCATCGGTCCATAAGGAGCCGAGACCAAAGCCATCGGTCCATAAGGAGCTGAGACCAAAGCCATCGGTCCATAAGGAGCCGAGACCGAAGCCATTGGTCCAAAAGGAGCCGAGACCAAAGCCATCAACAGCTGCATTCAGTTCATATTAACTCATTAACGCCATTTTTTATTATTTCACTGACTTTCAAGACCCACAGAATATTATGTGCTAGGACAATGTGAAAAATGAAACCAGATTCTGAAAGACTGGACTGTCCACTTTCAGCAGCAAAAATAAGTTTGTTTCTCGTTCGTTTTGTTGTCCTGTAATCCCCCTTTGAAAAGAGGG